TCTTTCCTTTTGCATGGCTGCTCTCTGATCTCCAATGCGTGTCTCTTGGGTCTACTTCCTCTTGTGAGGTTTGAGAAGCCTCTTATGTCATCACCTCTTCCTGGGGCTCTGTTTTAGGGTCTCCAGGAGAAGCTCATGGCTCTCTATCTGCAATTCTTGGTTCTGTGCTGGCTCTCCTCTTCCCTTTTCTCTTTCCTTTGGGAACTCCCAACTGCCTCCTTTCAGAGACACCTGCTCAGGTCCTGCTTTTACCTGTTGAATTGCATCTCCAAAAGGTCCAGCGGGGGGGGGGGGGGGGGGGGGGGGGGGGAGGAAAGGGCACATAGAAATGTTGCTGTCTCTTTTATGACCAGCAAGTACTCTGGGTGCCCCAGGGGGGCCAGAAGTTTTTGTAAGTTGGGCCAAACAAGGGCTGGGTCACTGTGAGTGGGCCCCAGTGGGACAAGTGCAGAGAGGATGTGTGTGGCATTGAACATTAAAATTTTAAAAATGTGTATTCTGGTTAGCATATTCCTTCCATCCTCCCTACCCCAACACCTACCCTAGATGCTGTCTGTGCATGACTTGAGACACAGCCAGATATGCTTTCTCTGAAAGCACAGTGACCTGGTATGAGGAGATCTGTGTGCATCCCAGAGACAGATGTCAGGAATTAGGGAGATTTCTCCATTTCAAAGCTGAGCTCTCAGTTTGGTGGCAGTGCTTCTGTTGACCACCAGGTGGCAATATTGGCCCCAATATTTCGGACTTGGAGGGCTGCTGTGGTCCGGACTCAGGTGGACAGCAGAGGGCAGCCTCTCACAGCTCTGGCTCTCAGCAAGCTCCTGCGGGGGGTCTGGAAGGAGGAAGAGGAGACCTGGCTGGGATGGGGTCTTGCAGTGCAGTTCTAGGGAGAATAAGCAGCTTGCAAGTCCTGTGTCCAGGGCCTTGTCTCCATGAGGAGAAATTCTGTCCCCTCCGCTACTTTGAAATAATGATAATGAATAGGCCTTGTGCTTTCTGATAAATTAATGCTTTTTCAATCCTTGAAACATACACTTTTTCATGCTCTTTGCCTATGGGTTATGCAGGAAGGTAGGCAAGGCAGACAGTATTTTTATTCCTACTTTATAAACAAGGATAACAAGGCTGAGAGGCTGAGCTGCCCAAGGTCATCCAAGGAGGATGCCTGGTTCATCTCTGGCTGAAGGGATGGGAAGGGGCTGCTATGTGACTTGGAGAACCTTCCTGGCCCTCATTTGGCCACCATGGGGAGGGGGAAGTCTGCATCAGTAGCTGCGCAGGAGGAAGTGGGAGGTATGTAAATAGAGCCGCAGGAAATGAGAAAGTCAGCAGCTTTAGCCATGGTGAGATAAATCTCTGCCCCGGCCTCCCCGGCTAGTGCTGACGTTGCTGGTACGCTGACCTCAGTGTTTCCCAGTAACAGGGGTTTGGCTGGGGCAGGCAGGGCTCTGGATGTCAGGGTAGGGTAGGGGGAGCTCTGGACAGGAAGGGGAGGTGGGGAGGGCAGTGCCAGTCAGTGGCTGGGGGATGCTTGCTCAGGAGAGGAAAGAAGCTCTCCCGGGTCAGCAGGATCATTTTTCCTTTGCCACTGCAGTTACTACCTGTTTGGATGAACTGAAATGATGCATGTTTGTTATCTTAGTGACTTTGTAACAGGCCTCCTTCCAGTGCCACTTTTTTGGTGAATTAAGACTTTCCCAGTAGGAAGGTAGCTGAGCATGGCTGTGAAGTGTTAAGAGAGAACTGGGCTCAAATCTGGCCTCTGTCACTAACCAACTCCATGACTCTGGGCAAGTTACTTAATCTTCCTTGCAAAGTGGCAGTAGTAATACCTCCTTCATAGGGTTGTTTAATTTAAACTGTGAATAACATAGTGTATGTCATGCAACTGGTCTTAGTAAATGTAAAGTCTCCTTCTTCTCTTCCTCTGACCTCTCATTGCAGTTTTATCTGTGTCTCCTTGACACTCACTACCTGCTGCCTGGTGTGGTGCGTCAGTTTGACGAACATTTTTGAGCACATAGGTACCAGGCACTGCACGGGGTCTGGGGATGTGTTGGCTTTAGCCCTTGCCAATAGGGATCACAGCCCAGCAGGAAGGCCCACAGGCAGTGGTTCCAGCATGGCATGGGTGGTCTGTGGAGCCAGGATGCGCACACATATGTGTGCCATGCATATCCTTGGTTTTGTTCCCCTAGCAAACTATTTGCTTTTTGAGGGTAGAGTCAGTTACATCTTTTGGACCTCTTCAACTATGGTGATCACATTTCCTGAATTAAAATGAAGGACAGGGCCGGGTGCGGTGGCTCGCACTTGTAATCCCAGCACTTTGGGAGGCTGAGGCGTTTGGATCACGAGGTCAGGAGATCAAGACCACCCTGGCTAACATAGTGAAACCCCGTCTCTACTTAAAAAAAAAAAAAATTAGCTGGGCGTGGCGGCACGTGCCTGTAATCCTGGCTACTCTGGAGGCTGAGGCAGAAGAATCTCTTGAACCTGGGAGGCGGAGGTTGTAGTGAGCCAAGATCACGTCACTGCACTCCAACCTGGCAATAAAGCTAGACTCCGTCTCAAAAAAAAAAAGAAGGACAGGCAGGTTGACACATCTGAATATCCTTATGAAGACAATGGAAGAAAATATTTGAAGTCTGTGCTGACTTAGAAAAATCAGGAAAAAAATTTACTATTTCTACAGCATATAGCAAAGTCTTTGACAGAATGGTCACAAAAAGATTTGTTGTGTGACCACATTAAATAAATGAATGCATAAGCAGCTACGATTTCAGTGACTTTCAAAATGTTCCCAAATTCCCTAAACTCAGAGCATGTGAAATTCCTAGCATTAAAGCGACTGACAGGGTTAAGACGGGAAATGGCCAGGTTAAAAGTAAATGTTTGTTGCCCGGGAGGAGACCCACATTTGCCCATTTGACCAGGTTGACAAGATCAGCAGGTGTCACAGAAAGAGAGGGTGCTCCTGAAGGACAAGTGCCTCCATGGAGTGAGAAGGGATGAGGGACAGGACTTGCTCAAATGGGGCAATAGGGAGGAGCCTGGGGCAGTCCAGGGAAAGAAAAGGTGTGTGTGCTGGGGAAGGGGGGCCCAAAGGGCAGATGTGAGGCTTGGAAAAGACTGGCCTCTGCCTTTTGGGACAACTTAAAATTGGAAGATTGAGGAACTGTTTACGATTAGGTCCAGCTCTCTCTCTTAAAATGCTAAGCAGGTAAGGTGACTTGCCCAAGGACACACAGCTGTTTAGTGGCCGGCCTCCCAGCTTGGCGTCCCTGTTGAATGGCGAGCTTCCAGCCTGTCTGGAAGAATGACAGTCACAAAGCAGGAGTGTTGGCATCAGGCCAGGACTGGGAGTGGCGGCATCTTGCCTGCCTTGTCCTCACAGTGTTCCAGATGGTGAAGGGTGATGTCTTAACACCACTGCCCCTCCACCACCCCCTTTTCCCCGCCCTTGCCCTACATCTGCTAGCAGTGCTGGCTCTGGACACGCAGCCAGGAAGGCAGTCCATAAAGACAGGAACACAAAGCAAGGACTGGGGCTAATCCCATCAACTTCCTCTGGCAGTTAACCCAAAACGCCAGGAAGTACTTGTACATACCTTAACGACTTCTTCCTTTTTCCCTGTCCTAGTCCAATGGTCCTCCTACTCTTCCTCCTAGAGCTAACTCTTCTTCTCAGATGGCTCTGTCTAGCTGAGTGAACCTAGCCTTACCTCCCAGGCCCTCCCATCAAGCTCCTCGGATCCTGACTCGCCCCATAGACTTGGCTCAGGCTGTGCTGATGAGAGAAGCCTTTGCTGATCAAGCTTTGGGAGGACGTCTGCCTTTGCCTCCCTCAGCTTGGCTGGGTGCCGTCTCTCCCTTGCCCACGTTCCCACCCTGGGCAGTGTTGAGTTCTTCCCAGTTAGTCTGCAGGCTTTCACTATGGTGCACAGAGCAGGAACTTAGTAATACTTCGTGACTCCAAGAAGGAATGAGTGAGTGTTGGTAAATAAAAAAGTACAGAAGGTCATGGTTTTGGACTAAGCTCCTGCTCTAGGCCCCACAGACCAGACTAAAATCAAAATGGAATCCCCCATGCTAAAGTTCCACATCACCAAATCTAAACTAAGTTGTTATCTGACCTGCCTAGAAATCAGGAGAGAGATATAACAGCCAATTAAAACAGGTCAATTTCAATATTCAATGGGCATGATAATGAAGTTCCCTCTGCTTTAATCTTTACACAAAACACGGTAGCCTGAAGGATCCTGATATTAACTAATCAGTTATTTTTCTATTGTTCTATCTCCCTGTCCCCACCTTACAAGAAAAGTAACTTTGTTTCTGAGACAGGGGCTTGCTCTTCCGCCCAGGTTGGAGGTGCAGTAGCGCAATCACAGCTCACTGTGGCCTCAACCTCCCAGGCTCAACCTGTCCTCCTTTCGGCCTCAGCCTCCCAAGTAGCTGGGACTACAAGCACATACCACCATGCCCAGCTAATTTTATCTTTTGTAGAGATGAGGTCTTGCTATGTTGCCCAGGCTGGTCTCAAACTCCTGGGCTCAAGAGATCCTCTCTCCTCGGCCTCCCAAAGGGCTGGGATTACAGGAGTGAGCCACTGTGCCCAGCCAAGAAAAGCAACTTTGAAAAGTGACTAACCAGCTTTCTTCAGCCCTTTCCTGTCTGTAAAGCCAACCTCTTCTGCTCAACTCTTTGGAACATGTATTCTATTTAATGGAATGAAGTGTTGCCTGATTCCAGAATTACAGTAAACAGTTGAGATCTGTAAATTTGTTGTACTTTTGTCTTTTGATGATGTTTTTGGTTCAGAATGAGAGTCAGTGGTTTGAATGCACTAGTACTGAGTCCCTACGATAGCTAGAAGTTACAGAGAGCAAGAGCTTTTAGGAATGGCATTCTGGAAGGAACCTGGCACGATCTCCTAAGAGGAAATGCCTGGTGACTCTGTCTCAAAAGGTTACTTAATTATCAACACCACCAACTTCATTTCCGTTTTAAATTTTATTACATCAAAAGAAAAAACCTCTCCACAAAACAAATCTTAAAACCTACACCAAGCGAAAGAAATTATCATCAAGGTTCTAACTCCACCCCCCAAAACAACCTTACATTTAAAAAAATCCAAAAGAAATAGAAATACCAGCTTCAAAAATATTTATCCAAAAAGTAAGGCATCAACTTTACAAAAAAATAATTGAAGGAGGGGAGGAAGTTGGAGGAATGAGAAAAGAGGGAACAAGAAGATGGTCCCCTGACCCTCCAGGGGCCAACCCCAGCCTGCCGGGCATCTACGCTGAAGGGGTCACAACTCAGACCAAACTCGGCATCTCACCAACTATGGGGCAGGCAGGCTGGGCGGGGAAGCTGGGAGACACCACCCAGGTCAGGAAGGGCTCCTGTGTATTCCAGTTTAAGCAGACAGAACTGGGGTGAGGGAGAGAATCCCGATTTGTGATAAAAGGATCCTAAGTCCTTAGTGCAGCAGGAGTGACTGGGGAGGTTGCAGGGCCCATGACAAACTCCATTGGAGCCCAGGGAAAGGTCAGAGGCCGCCAGCCACAGAGGAGGGCCTTTTTTGAGGACCTCCAGAGCGGGCGCCCTGCTGCCGCTGCCCTCTCACCCTGCCCCAAGACGGCATGGCACTGAGACCTGAGAGGAGTGGGGGGCTACTGGAGTTGAGGACGGACGGGAAAGGAACTGGGCTTCAGTCAATGCTCTCCCCAGTCTCCCAGGGTGTGGAATGGGCACCTCTGGGGAGGGGGAAAGCGCCCTTCCTCCCGGGGAAGGCATTTAATATCAGATCCGTCCTGAGGGTTAGAAATAGGGGAGTATTTTTAGGCCAAGTTCTTGGATGGGAGGTGACTTAAGGCTGATTTGGCTCTGATCTCAGGCCTGAAGGACTTGGGGATCCTTCACACCCGGTCCCAAGCCAAGGCCCAGAGAGGAGAAGGGCATGGTGGGGGCGGTGGTGCTGGCTGTGTGCGGGCGTGCTGGGAGTGGCTGTAGGGATAGCAGGGGACTGCTCCTTCCTGTGATGGGGAGGTGGAGTTGCTGAGAGAGATGCCCACTAAATTAAAAAGCAGAAGCCTTTTTGGCTTCTGGAAGCTTTGGCACCATGTTGGGGGCAGGATGCAGGAGGCAGGGGCAGGGCTGGGTTTCTGCAATCTGAGCCTTTCTCAGTATGTTCCTCAACCGCCTGGCTTGGGGGTGGAGAGGCTGTTCTTCTCCTTGGTCCTTAGCTCTGGGAGTTGGCGTCCTGAGGAGAACCGAATTCTGGACAGGGAGCCCTGGCTGGGGTGGGTGCAGGTATGATGGGGAGGGGCAGGAAAGAGGGCAGAGGGAAGCATCCCCTTGGATTTTGGGTCCCTGGTGAAGAGATAGGGTCTTGGGTCTCTCCAGCTGACCCCTTGATGGGGACAGAATTGCTTGAGCCTGTGCCCCCGCAACACAGCCCCTGTGGCCACCTCTCCTCTCCGAAGGGGCCTCCCTGGGAGGGAAGGCAGTAATGAGCTCTGGTTCCTGAAGCAGCAGCTGAGGGTGTGGCCCGGCATCTTGGCACCTTGGCATCTCCCCTCTCCTCCAGCAGCTGGGAGTGTGGGCAGCACTGGAGTGGGGCCTGGGACATGGGCCCTGGGGCGAGAGACTGGTTCTTTGGGTATGAATGTGAGTTTTGTTTACAATTTCTCACTACCCACACCGAAGTCCTACCACTGCCTGACAAAAGCGGAGAGAGGGGTGTGTGTGTACTTGCATGTGTTGGGGGGACCAGGGCAGGGAGGTAGGATAAAAGGGGAGGGAGGAGGGAGTAGCCAGCTGAGGGAATGGTGGTCCTTAGGGCTGGGCCTGCCCCGCCACGTCCTTGTCCTTGGTGGGAGTGGGTTGGTACATGGGCTGCTGCTGCTCCTCCATGTCTTCATTAGCCTTCTCTGTCCCTGAGCCCTGCTCTGCCTCGGGGTACACGACCACACACATCTTCTGGCTCACCAGGGTTAGCAGCTCTGTAGGAAGAGATCAAACAGAAACCAGGCCGGTGCTGAGCATCCCACCAACCTGGCCAAGCGGCCCCGGCCCTTCCCAGCTCTCCTGCTCCAAGTTCTGCCTCTTCAGAGCAGTCAGTGCTTGAGGAGAATCCTTTCCACCTGGTCTGCCTCCTGCATCTCCCGCCGGCTGCTCCTTGCTCATGAAGGCCCCAGCCTTCCACCTTCCCTGTGCCCACTGACCCCCAAGTCCAGGGTCTCCGCTGGTCTCCACCCAGCTTGGGGCAGCTCTCACAGGATGGCTGATAGGTTGCCTATTTAATTTTTAAATTTTTAATAATAGAGATGGGGTCTTGCTATATTGGCCAGGCTGGTCTCAAACTCCTGGGCTCAAGTGATCTTCTGTCTCAGCCTCCCAAAGTGCTGGGATTACAGGTGTGAGCCACTGTGCCCAGCCCAGGTTGCCTATTCTTGCAGGTCTAAGGTCTGTATGGAAATGCCAGCTGTTCTCCTCCCTCAGAGGTCTCTGGGAAAAGGCATCTGCTTTCCCTGCTCTGGACTCCTCCAGAGCTCTGTGGACTAAGGAGAAGGCGAGCCTAGGTCTCCTGGCCCTGGTGGCTCCCCCACCCCATCACTGACCACTGCATTCCAGCCTAGGAGGCCCTCAAGCCAGCCAGAGCCTCCAACAACTCACCAATGAAGTCACTGAAACACTTGGGCTTGTGTTGCCAGTAAACACCCAGGAAATAGACAGGCACTCCTGTCAGCATGATGGCCAGGCCAATGCCACACACCACCGGCTCTGACCACAGGCTGAAGACCAGCAGGAAGGCCCAGAACAGCAAATAGATGATGGGGAACAGCAGGTTGATCTGTGGAGCAGAAGCATGAGGCATGTGAACTGTGTAGGCCCCGCGGCCCCCAGGACTAGGGACTGAGGCATTCTCTCTCTTCTTCACCCACAGAGACACATCCTCAAGGGTAAAGGCTGGGCTTCCCTCAACTCGGTGGTCCCACACTCACCCCTGATAGGGCAGGGGCTATATGAACAAATGTTGATGAACATGGATGGTCAGACAGGAAGAGGATGGGGAGGAGCTAGGGAGGAAAGGACCCTCCTTGCCCATGTCCTCGATCCTGGGTGTGATTAGACAAGGCCTCATCATGCATGCCATGTGCCTGTGGCAGCCAGAGAAGCCCATAGGGATGGAGAAGCTTGCTGGCACATGGGTGCGTCTGCTGAGGTCCTAGGGTGGAGGGGAGGTGTGGCAATGCACAAAGTGCAGGCAGGAGGCGATTCTAATCACTCAGGCTCCCTGGTCCTCGCCCACTTCTATGCAGGGCCCTTATGTGGGCACAATATGGCAAATGTCAGCTCCTTATGGGCCACATGTGGGGAGTTCCCTAGAGTATCCTCTTCAGGGCTCCAGGGGCAGTCCTGATTCGGCTGCCTTTCTCTTCCTTGTCTTCCTTGCTCAGAAGGGATGTGTGTGGTGGGGACCTGGGATTATTCTGCCTCCTCTTCCCTCTAGCAGGTTTTCTAAGAGTGAGAGTAGAAAATCGTGGTGGAAATGCCAGTGAGGAACTGAGAGATTTGGAGAGCCTTTGATTTTTCAGCTGGAAGGATCTTCTAGAAGCATCTAGTCACTGTTTCTAGAATAGGATTGTACAAATAGCTCTGGAGTACACTCTATTCTTCTAATTTGTTGGAGAACTCATAATGCTCTAGCATGTCTTGTTCTGAGCAATCCCATTAATTTCTATCACAGAGTTATATCTTGTAGCAATATTAGGTTCACTGAGCACCCTATATGTGTAGGGCTATGGGAGTTTAAAAAGAGAGGATCATGGAAGGTTGCAGTAGACTAGAAAACTTCAAGGAAGAGGAGGTACTTGAGGCGCATTTGGAAAATGGTTAAAATGTAGATGGGCAGATAGGAGGAGGAAAGGTATTCTGGGATGGAGACACAGCACCTAGTGAACCCAGCTATCTGGAGGGACAAGGAGGAAGTGTTGGGGAGATAAGAGAACCTTGAAAAGTCAGCTGGAGTTTAAGGCTTAGACTGGTAGGAAACAAAGGAATGTCAAGATGAAAGTGACATTTGATCTGACTTATTCCCCAGCTACAGTCTGCTCCGATCTCATCCCCAGTGGAGAACACAAATGATGGTCCCATTCACAAATGGCCCTTGCTTTCCAAAGGGTCTGCTACCATCAGAGATGATGATGTGTGGTCAGCAGCTAAGAAGAGAGGTGATTTAAACATCTGAACTGCAGCTAGAACCACAGAGGAAGGGGCGGGGACCCCAAAGGGAGGTTCTCTCACCTTGATGGGGCGGGGGATATCAGGCTTCTTCCAGCGAAGGACTATCTGTCCAGCAACCGTGACCCCATAGAACAGGTAGTTGATGAAGCCCACGTAGTTGATGAGTGTGTACATGTCGCTGGTGACCAGCATCAGCAGGGTGGAGATGCACTGGGGAAGTGGGAGGAGCTCATCAGTGATCCAAAAGATATTCGGAGACTGGTATTATAGATTAGGGGCTGTCCCCCAGCCTCCAGGCAGACGATGCCATTGTATAATGGATGTCTCGAAATGGAGACTTTAGAACCTCCCCTAGTAACCTAGGACGTTACAACATCTTTATCGCTAGGAAGTCCTTTCTTATTACAGGGGTGATGATAAAAATATTTAACCACTGGTATGGCACGGGCACTAACCACTTAGAATGGATACTGGGCATAAGCAGCTAGACTGGCTACCCTGGTATTACCTGGCTCTGTGTCAGCCCCGGTTTCATTTGTATGTCTCTGTGGGTTATAGCTCAAGCTAACTTCATTTTTTTAAATCCCTTAGGGAAGATTGTTAATAACAGATTAAGGCTTTATTCCTGCCCTCATCCTTTTCTCCTGGCTGAGTCATCTATTTTTCTTCCTTTTCTTTATTAATTTCAAAACTGGTTACATAGAACTTACTGTGTGCCAGGTCCCTATTTTTAGCATTTGACAAAGATTAACTCACTTAACCCTCATAACATCCAAATGAGGTTTTCTTGACAGAGTCTACTTTCCAACTTCAAAATCATCTCTGTGGCTCTCTTGGAACCATGCTCCTCCCTTCTGATAACTTGTGAAGGTCAACAAAAGTTCCGTCCTCCTGTGAGAGCCGATGGTTAAAATAATTGAGATGCTTTTAATGGTTCTTGCTGCATCTGCCTTTTAGTCACACTACTGCACCAATAGCTCTAACTGGGAAAAGAAAAAAAAAAAAAAAGGGTATGGCCCACTGGGAGTACTGTCTTCTCCAGCCACCTTCCACAACCAACCAGTCAAGGTGACCTTCATCCTACATCTGAACATTCTGATGTTGTACAGCAATGCTGTACAATGCTCTTGACTCCCATGAGCTCTGTTATTCTGATTTCTAACTGCTTCGCCAGTGGACCAAAGTCATTTTTAGTGTTTTATTCAGGATCCAGAAGGAAAATAAAAATAACTCAAAAGACTCAATGGGGACAAGTCTTTGTTCCTTCCTTTAGCTCTCTCTAAATGATGCTACTCTGGGGATATTTTATTCCCATCTCTTTCCTGTCCCAAGTTTCCTTTTCACAGTTTTCAGTTTATCAGTCTTCCTCTATGATTTTTCTTATTTGGTGTACTCTTAACACTAAATTCATTTCAGTGATGTTTCCAAGAGACTGGCAGGCTGCCCTGAAGCTTGATGTGGGGAATGGGTGTTTGCAGGGACCAACCAGCCAGGAGTAGAGACCAGTGCCACAACCCCGCGGTAACAGGTGTGAGGAGAGCCAAGGGAGACACATTTTTTTGAGGCTGTAGAATCCTGAGGCAGTCAGTTCAGTCTGACCCAAAAGGATGGGAGAATGGAAATAAGTCAGCCCGAGAACCTTAGGTATTTCAGGACTCAGGATCTTTCCTTGCTATATCTCTTGATATTAACAAAGCTGATGAGTATCATTTGCCAGATCATCTAAGATCCAGTGAGACCTAGCAGCAGACTGGAAAGGTAACAGGGGTGTGTGTGAAAAGCATGAACTCCCAGCTTAGACTAGGCACAAAAAGAGGGAGGTGTGTGGGGAGTTACAGCAGGAAGGGCCCTTACTGTGAAGAGCAGGGCTGGGATTGGAGTGCAGCGCTTCACGTGGATCATGGCCAACACACTGGGAAGGTGGCCCTCTCGGGCTCCAGAGAAGAACAGCCTGGCAGGGAGAAAAGCAGGTCAGCCTGGGATAACCCATGGACCACCAAGCCCGAGTTCCTTCATCCATGCCTACCTTCTGCCCACACAGGGGCATCCTCCCTCCAACCGGGTACCTGCCTTCACATGCACACTTTCCGCCCCACCAGCCACAGAACCTGTGTTCACAAATGCAGGTGCAAGCAAACCAGAGGCAGCCAATGGAAAAGTGGATGAACCCTGGGTATGTTAGACCCTGAATGTGGTATGGGTGGCTCAGGGTTACTGATAATTGTACTGTCACTCAGTGGGGTGCTCCCAATGCCTGGAAGGCTACAGGAGCAACCTCTGTCTGTTGCCTTAAGTATTCATCTCTTTAAAAGCATTCCTCACATCCTCAAAGGATGCAGATTCCCTGATACACTGGGACCGAACTGCATATGGAAAGCTTTAAAAACACTTTTTTTTTTTTGAGATGGAATCTCGCTCTGTTGCCCAGGCTGGAGTGCAGTGCCACAATCTTGGCTCATTGCAACCTCCACCTCCCAGGTTTAAGCAATTATCTGCCTCAGCCTCCCGAGAAGCTGGGATTACAGGTGTGTGCCACCATGCCCGACTAATTTTTGTATTTTTGGTAGAGACGGGGTTTCACCATCTTGGCCAGGCTAGTCTTGAACTGCTGACCTCATGATCCACTCACCTCGACTTCCCAAAGTGCTGGGACTACAGGCGTAAGCCGTCATGCCCGGTCTAAAAACACTCTTATCCTAGTCAGAGAGTAGTTGTTTTTGTGGGAGTGGAGAACTGGTGGTGGAAATGTTCTGTATCTTGTTTTGGGTAGTGGCTGAATTTTGACAACTGTCAAAATTCATCAAATGGAAGCCAGGCACAGTAGCACGCACCTGTATTTCTAGCTACTTGGGAGGCTGAAGTAGGAAGACTGCTTGAGCCCAGAAGTTCAAAGCCAGCCTGGGCAACATAGTGAGATTCTGCCTCTAAAAAACAACAATGAAAAACAAAAACGAACAAACACAAACAAAACTACCCCCACAAAACTCATCAAAATGAACATTTATGATCTGCTTTTTTTTTGAGACAGAGTTTCACTCTTGTTGCCCAGGCTGGAGTGCAATAGCGTGATCTTGGCTCACCGCAACCTCCGCCTCCCAGATTCAAGCGATTCTTCTGCCTCAGCCTCCCGAGTAGCTGGGACTACAGACATGTGCCACCATGCCCGGCTAATTTTTGTATTTTTGGTAGAGATGGGGTTTCTCCACGTTGGTCAGGCTGGTCTCGAACTCCTGACCTCAGGTGATCTGCCCGCCTCGGCCTCCCAAAGTGCTGGGATTACAGGCATGAGCCACCATGCCCAGCCTATGATCTGCTTTTTTTAAAAAATATGGAGGCAGGGTCTTGCCATGTTGCCCAGGCTGGTCTTGAACTTCTGGGCTCTAATGATCCTCCCGCCTCGGGCTCCCAAAGCGTTGGGATGACAGATATGAGCCACCGCGTCCAGCCTGCATATTTTATTGTATGTAAACTGTACTTAAAAATTTATATCCTGTCTTGTGGGATTGAGTTAAAAAAAAATTATATCCTGTCTGGGCTTGGTGGCTAACACCTGCAGTCCCAGCACTTTGACAGGCTGAGGTGGGAGAATCATTTGAGCCCGGAAGTTTGAGACCAGCCTGGGAAAAATAGTGGACCCTTGTCTCTACAAAAAATAAAAATAAAAAAATTAGCCAGGCATGGTGGCGTGTGCCTGTTGTTCTAGATACTCCGGAGGCTGAGGTGACAGGATCACATGAGCCTGGGAGGCTGAGGCTGCAGTGAGCTGTGATTGTGCCACTGCACTCCACCCTAGGCGACAGAGCAAGAAACTGTCTCAAAAAGAAAGAAAAGAAAAGGAAGAAAGAAAGAAAAAATTGGAAATATCCTAAGTGCCTAAAAGTAGGAGGTTGATAAAATAGATTTGCATAAGATGAAATGTTATGGGCTAGGCACAGTGGCTTATGCCTGTAATCCCAGTGCTTTGGGAGGCCGAGGTGGGTGGATCATCTGAGGTCAGGAGTTTGAGACCAGCCTGGCCAACATGGTGAAACCCCGTCTCTACTAAAAATACGAAAATTAGCCAAATGTGGTGGCACGTGCCTGTAATCCCAGCTACTCGGAAGGTTGAGGCAGAATTGCCTGAACCCAGAGGTGGAGGTTGCAGTGAGCAGAGATCACGCCATTGCACTCCAACCTGGATGACAGAGTTAAACTTGTCTCAAAAAAAAAAAAAGGAACATTATGTAGTCATAATGTTTTTGAAAAAAATTGATTACATGAGAATATGCTCAAAATATAACATTAAATGAAAAAACAGTACTGAAAACTATAATGCAAATAATTTTTTTTTTTTTTGAGACATGGTCTTGCTCTGTTGCCTAGGCTGGAGTACAGTGGCACAATGACGGCTCCCTGCAGCCTTGACCTCCCAAACTCAAATGATCCTTCTGTCTCAGTCTCCCAAGTAGCCTGGACTACAGGTGTGCACCACTATGCCCAAATGCCAATTAATTTTAAGATTATTTATGGGCCCATTTATTAAAATGCTAACTGATTATCTCTGGGTGGTGAAATTATGGTTAACTTTAATTTTCTTCCTTATACATTACAGAAAAAATTTTAAAAATTGTAAAATGCAGCCTGGGCAACATGGTGAAAACCTGTCTCTACAAAAAATACAAAAATTAGCCAGGCATGGTAGAGTGTGCCTGTAGTTCCAACTACTGAGGGGGCTGAAGTGGGAGGATCACTTGAGCCTGGGAGGTTTGAGGCTGCAGCAAGCTGTATTTGCACCAGTGCACTCCAGCCTGGGTGACAAAGTGAGACGCTGTCTCAAAAAAAAAAAAAAAAAAAAAAAGATAAGGAAAAAATGAATAAAATTCTAAAATAGATGGAATAGTTACAATCAGAATAAAGATTTTTTTTAACTTAAAAAAATTAAACTTTTTATGTTTCCAATTTTTAGAGATGGGGTCTTGCTCTGTCCCGCAGGCTGGAGTAGAGTGGCATGATTATAGCTCACTGCAGCCTCCAATTCCTGGACTCCAGTGATCCTCTAGTCTCAGCCTCCTGAGTAGCTGGGACTACATGTACATACCACCATGCTCAGTTAACTTAAAAAATGATAATTTTTTGAGATAATTGTAAATTCACATTCAGTGAATCTTACAACAAAGTACAGTTGTAAGAAATAATAAAAAGAGATCCTATGTATCTTTTGCCCAGTTTCCTCCATTGGTAACATGCTACACAATTATATTATAGTATCACAAGTAGGATATTGATGTTTAAATCAATTTTATTTTTTACTTATTTTTCTTTCTTATTTTTTTGTAGTGACAGAGTCTTGCCGTGTTGCCCAGGCTGGTCTTGAATTACTGGGCTCAAGCAATCCTTCCACCTTGCCCTCCCAAAGTACTGGAATTACAGGCGTGAGCCATCATGCCCAGCCCCAAAAGTTTTTTTTTTTTTTAATTTTTTTTTTTGAGATGAAGTCTTGCTCTGTCACCCAGGCTGGAGTGTAGTGGCACGATCTTGGCTCACTGCAACCTCTGCCTCCTGGGTTCAAGTGATTCTCCTGCCTCAGCCTCCTGGGTAGCTGGGAGTACAGGCACCTGCCACCACGCCTAGTTAATTTTTGTATTTTTTTTAGTAGAGGTGGGGTTTCATCATATTGGCCAGGCTGGTCTCCTGACCTTGTGATCTGCCTGCCTCAGCCTCCCAAAGTGCTGGGATTATAGGTGTGAGCCACCACACCTGGCCATAAAAGTTATTTTTAAAAAGAAAAGTTTTAGGCCAGGCGTGGTGGCTCACACCTGTAATCCCAGCACTTTGGGAGGCTGAGGTGGGTGGATCACAAGGTCAGGAGATCGAGACCATCCTGACTAACACAGTGAAACCCCGTCTCTACTAAAAATACAAAAAATTAGCTGGGCATGGTGGCAGGCACCTGTAGTCCCAGCTACTCGGGAGGCTGAGGCAGGAGAATGGTGTGAACCTGGGAGGCGGAGCTTGCAGTGAGCCAAGATTGTGCCACTGCACTCCAGCCTGGGCAACAGAGCGAGACTCTGTCTCAAAAAAAAAAAAAAAAAAAAAGAAATTTTAAGAGAATAATTTGAATGTTCCTAACATAAAGAAAAGACAATATTGAAGGAGATGGGATATCTCAATTACTCTGATTTGATTTTTACATATTATATCAATGTATTGAAACATCATCTGTACCTTGAAAATCTTGAAAATATGTACCTCTATTATATACATATGAATATGAAACTTGAACATAAAAATCAGCCCTCCTTCCCTTTTACTCTCCTAAGAGAAAAGTGAATATTAGGGGCTATCAACAGTAATTTACATGTCAGTGCAAATTGGACCACTTTTTTCTTTTTTCTGGGGAAAGGCTCACCTAAGGGATGACAGGCAGGGTACAGCTTGATAGGAACAAAAAGGCACAGATTCAGTGCACTGGGAGTTCAGAGAATTGTCACTTACTTTGTAATTTGTGTATGGAGTAGACTGAAGCTAACAGCAGCAGCTCATCAGAAGTGTGGGAGTTGACTGTATCCCCAAATACCCATAAGCAGTAACCATAATGAACTCCCTAGGCCAGTGTCACTAGTTTCATGCAGCCATATACATCCCTGTCCCCTCTCCCATGCTGCCGCCCCTCTACAAGGCAGTCTCATGCACCAGGTGCTCTGTGGGACTTGTCGTGCACATAGCCAGGGTCCTGCATTCACGTCCCTCCCCCACATGCAGACAGGACCAAGTGTAATTGTCCAGATCCAACAGCATTTGCAAGTGTCAAGTTCACAACAGACAGTCCTTGCCCAGCTAGCCGACAACAGAGGAGACGATGACATTAAGCATAACACGCATCCACACACTCTGACTCTTTAGCAAGGATCATCCACTCCCTACCCGAGAACACAAAGGAGTGACAGGAGATAAAGAAGGAGGGAAGGAGAAGGAAGGAAGAAGGAACTGGAAAGATGAGCAGAGGAGGCCTGGGTGTGTGAGGTCTCGCCTCTGAATCGGAGGTGGAGCACACCATGCGCCACCCTTTCCTGCATGCACACACAACTAGACCACATGCACGCAGACCGCTGCTTGGCCTGCCTGAGGGACAAACCCCACTCTAAAGTGACTGTAGCCAGTCACTCTCCTCCAATAGATCTCAGGGAGCCTCATGGGTTACTGTTCTTCCACTGCTCGGCCTCGGCGGGGCCTCCATATGGCCACTGCTCCTGTGTAACATGCACACGAGGTTGCTGTGGGTGAGTGTCATAGGGTCCCAGGGTACAGGGGACACCCACACCACCTCTTTCCAGCCCTGGGTCCTAAAAACATGGCACTACCTTGTTATTTCACAGGAACTCTTCCCTGATGTGATGGCTTTGGAAGCAGCTGAACTCAGGGACTCATCTTTGGAGCAGGACTGTACCCTGAGGGCAGGGGGTGCTTTCTGAGAACCTGGGAGGACCCCTTGAACCACACAAGTGGAAGTCATTCAACATCTGCTAGCCTCAACAGCCCCTTCTGAAGACAGCAAAAGAAAGGGCCGGGTCCCCGGATGCATGGAGGCAGGACCTGGGACTCGTGGACCTGCTTGCACTTCTGGCTTCTGAGAGAGCTCTGGGGCGGGGGTCATGGATAAAAGGCTCTTTCTTTGGACAAATGTTTGCTTTCCACTTTCCCCCACCCTCTCACTTCACATTCTCCACCTGAGTCTCATGGGTGGTGTCGAAAAGGCCTCTCCAGCCGCCTCGGTTGAGCAGGGAGGAGCTCTGCATTCTTGGGGCAATTAGGGTGAACCCATCCCACCTGCAGGCTAGTTCCAGAACATTCATGGGAGGCCAGACCCAGAGGCCCCAGGCACAAGTCTCCCTCTTGGTCCCTTTCCAAATGGGGTTCTTTTCCAGCCAGCAGCAGCCTGTTTCCAGGCAAGTGGAAATGGGGGCTCTAGGACTGTAGCCAAGATACTGTCTTGCTGCCAACTACAGCCCCCTGACTGGGGGCTGCATCAGGCAGGCTGGTGGCCTCCTCTGTCTTCTGCTCCTTTTGAAATGAGACAGGCTACTACATGTGAAGCACCTAGGATCCATATGCCACACACATCGCAGGTGACCACGTGAGCAGCACACACTCCTCAGCATCCATACTGACACACACGCCCTCGTGTGAGCAATCACGCCTCTTCAAGCCCACCATCCAGATGCCCACACAGACCCCTGCTGACAGAGACAAGCCCACCATATACAAACAGAGCAAAGTGCACAGCGGAGTGGCCCCTGGCCGGAGAAGGGCCCAGGCAGCACTCACCGAGAGGAGGTGAAGAGAGACCCATTCACTCCTCCAAATGTGGACAGGGCAACAGAAATGGGCATGATCCAGGCCATGACTCCTAGGAGCTTCTCTCCAAAAGTCTGGGAGAGGAAACAAGGAGATAAGCAAAGAAGGAGAGGTTACCACTCCCCAACCCCTTAGCTCCCACTTCACTCTGGGAAACCATTTCTCCCATCTCCACCCTTGTAATTCTCTCTGGCCAAGTTGCTTAGGAGCCCCCACCCTCTCAAGGGTGGACCCCCTACACAGGGGGGTTAATGCATGTTTTAGGCTAATTAACTGAAGAAGGTAGTACACAGTGGTAATAGTAATAATGAACTAACGCTATTCTTGTTTTATGGATGAGGAAGTGAGTCACACAGTGATTAAGTAGCTTGCCTAAGATCACACACCCAGCAAGCGGAGGGACCAGCATTGGAAGCCAGGTGGTGTGATCCAGGCCTCACATACATTATACGATTTCTCCAGCACAGGGAAGGGCATGGGCTTGTCAGGCAGATCCTTGCCCTCCAGCTAGGAGCTGTGAGACCTTGAGCAAAGTTTATGATTTTTGAGCCTCTGTTTCCCAACTGCAAAATAGGGATTAATCCAGAATCACAGGGTGAGAATTTCTCAGTTCATCAAAACAGATGAGTTGGGGGTAAAATGATAAGAATGAGCCCCTCCTTAGTCTGAGAAAGAAAAGGCTGTGAAGCTATAGACGAATCTTCATGTATTCAAGGACTATACAACGCAGGGGACCAGCCTTGTCTATATTCCCTGAGCCAGGTTTACAGCACATTACTGAGGAGAGATTGTTCAGAATAGAAGGCTGTTGGTCATAAGAACAGGCTGCCCCAGGAAATGGGAGGACCTCTTTTCTTTACGGTCTTTTGAGATAAGGCCAGTGAAGAGACTGGCAGGGTGGTGGTGGCCCAGCCTGATGCCAGGTGAGGGAGCAAGGTGCCTCCCAGGTCCTTCTTAGATGTCAAAGATCCCAACCCCTTGCACCAGTATGGTCTCTTGCCCCAAAGAGCACACCTGACGTCTGCTTCTGGATAGGAAGGCAGAGAGAAATGGCATGTCTTGTGCAAGATGATGTCTTTCTGAGGAGGGGCCTGTCTGCTTCATGCCACTCTCACATTTAGAGCTTGAAGTGCCCAAGATTAGGAGTCGGCAGACTTTCTCTGGAAAGGGCCAGGTAGTAAATGTCTTACAGCTTCTTAGGCCATGCGGTCTCTGTGGCACTGACTCGGTTCTGCCACTGTAGCTGTTCTAGGTACAACCCAGCCACCAGTTTGCTCCTGGGCATTTAAAGATACCCCAGCCAATGACATATGTGGTTTCTGTCCTGAGAACTTGGGGGTGATTTCCACTTCCCCAAGGCCATGGATCAGGGAAAAGTGAGTGGGGCTACAGCAGGCAAGTCTATGTCCACATTCCTCCTATGAGAGACTGGGACTTTCATTTCTTACCACAGCGACGGCGTTGGATGCCAGCAGCTCCTGAGGGGACATTGCAGTGACATAAGCGACATTGGCAAAGACATACACAAATGTGACCAGTGGGATGGAGATGAAGATGGCTCTGGGAAGGTTCCTGTAGAGGGAGAGGAGGTGAGGGGAAGGGCTGGCACCCGGGACGCCAGACTTGCCATGCAGTCCAGGGGGTGTCTTCTGTCTTTCTGCAGGCGCTTAGCCTTGCAGACTTCTGTGAGGCTTCCTTTCCCTGGGAGGTGGCCTTTGCCTCAATATGGGCAGGATAATTTAAAGGAAAGGAGGCTGAGCGTGGTTGTTCACACCTGTTATCCCAGCCCTTTGTGAGGCCAAGGAGGGAGGATCGTTTGAGCCCAGGAGTTCGAGGCCATCCCTGGCAACATAGCAAGACCTCTTTTTTACAAATTAAAAAATTAACTGGGCATGGTGGCATGTGCCTGTAGTCCCAGCTACTCAGGAGGCTGAGGTGGGAGGCTTGCTTGAGCCCAGGAGATTGAGGCTGCAGTGAGCTATGATTGTACCACTGGACTCCAGCCTGGATGACAGAGTGAGACCCTGTCTCTAAAAACAAAACAAAAGAAAAAATAAGTTAAAAAAATGAAGGCAATAAAACAACTCAGGTTGGAAGTATGCTCCACACCTGTTGATCTTGACCTGGATCTCCACAATGCACCTTTTCCCCCTGCCTCAAGACACCAAGACTGGCCTGTCCTAAAACAAGCAAGATTCCCAGAAGCCTCTCAGGGCACAGTTCGTTGTCTAAGGCAGTGGTGTTAATGCAGTACAGTTCTCAGCTTCTAATCGGGTCTGGGAAAGTCACTGGATCCTTTTCTCCTCCTGGTGGGGTGAACGGCAAATGGTTTAATGCCTGGAAAATGAACTACAACTTCAGGATAGATCAAATCACAGTCCGAATGGGGCTGAGGAAGGCGAGGTGGGCAATGTACACATGCTCCCTCTTTCCAGCAGCAGGTGCTGTGGCCTTTCAAGGGAGAGGGAATAGCCAGGCTCTTTCAACTCACTTGTAGGGATCAACAAGTTCCTCAGTCACATAATTCAGAAAGTTCCAGCCTCCATAGGCAAAGGAGCCCTGAAGGAAAGCCAGTGCGACGAGGCCGATGTCAGGTTCCTGGAAATTCTCAAATGCATTCTTTGGCTCCAGCCAGAAGTATTCTCCTGTGGACACATGCAACAGGAGGCTGCTCAGTGAGACAAGCCAGGAGCCCAGCAACCCCTGGCCTGCCCTGGCCCACCTCTCACCCCTCCGTGTGGCAATGACACCAACTCTGTCTTGTCTCCAGTGAACCCAACATATTGGATACGTGGGGATAAAGGGAGCAGGAAAATTCAGGTCCAGGGCTTCCGAGGCCCTGGAAACTAGGAGTCCAAATGAGGGTTTAGGTTCAAAGCACAGTTCTGAATGCTCATTCTGTAAAAGGTAAAGTTATTTAAAAGGAAAGGACATGGTAAATTGGGCTTTGGAAATACAGGATTGGAGACATTGGTAATCTCCTGACCACTTTCTCTGATATCTAAGTTTCTACATTTTCATGAAGAAAGCATCCAGGATTGGGCACAGTGGCTCAGGCCTGTAATCCAAACAATTTGGGAGGTCAAGGCAGAAGGAATGCTTGAGGCCAGAAGTTTGAGACCAGCCTGGGCAACATAGCGAGACTCCCATCTCCACCACTAATTAAAAAAAATTAGCTGGGTGTGGTGGTGTATGCCTATAGTCTCACCTATTTGAGAGGCTAAGGTGGGAGGATCACTTGAGCCCAGGAGTTTCAGGCTGCAGTGAGCAGGAGAATCACTTGAACCTGGGAGGTGGAGGTTGCAGTGAGCTGAGATCGTGCCACTGCACTCCAGCCTGGGTGACAGAGCAAGACCCTGTCTCCAAAAAAGAAAAAAACAAAAACAAGCAAGCATCCAGAACAACAAACACTCAAACGTGAGTTTCCATAATGTTATATTAGTTCAAGCTTGTTTTGCTGCTTGCTTTGTTGATATCCTCCTATCTGTTTCTGAGGTGTGTGTTTGGTCTCTCTTTTCTTTTTTTGAGATGGAGTCTCGCTCTGTCACCCAGGCTGGAGCGCAGTGGCGCGATCTCAGCTCTCTGCAACCTCCACCTCCCAGGTTCTAAGTGATTCTCCTGCTTCGGCCTCCCGAGTAGCTGGAGTTACAGGCATGTGCCAACATGCCTGGCTAATTTTTTTGTATTTTTAGTAGAGACAGGGTTTCATCACGTTGGCCAGGCTGGTCTCGAACTCCTGACCTCAAGTGATGTGCCTGCATTGGCCTCCCAAAGTGCTGGGATTACAGGCGTGAGCCACGATGCCTGGCCGTCTCTCTTTTCAAGATTCCCTAAGGACAGGAATTTTTTTTAGCAAAGAGCTGTTTAAACTGCCTTCCCAGCCCCTAGCACAGTGTGCTGCAGACTGTGGGTCCTTGGAATCGTCTGCTGACTGGCTAAAATTTCAATGAGATAGAGAGTAACTGATCATATGTTACTTATTCATCTGCAGTTTAGCATTGGGACAGGAAATAAGGAGATTAGGGTGACCAGGAGAAAGAATTGAGGCCAGCTTAGGAGGGACTCACTATTTTTGACAAGATAGCGCAGTGATTTCCTTAAGTCTAAATGCCTGAAAGCAATATATAACCTGTTAAAGAACTTAATCCAACTGTTTAAAACAATCAGGCATATTATATAGCAGAAACTTAATTATGTTTCCTGGAGTAGAAGTCCAGGCTGCCCACACTGCCTTCAGGGCTTGCGGGAAGTTTCCCTGTTTGTCACCTGACTTTCTCCATGAGGCAGTGACACTGGGCAGAGCCTCGCGGTGCCATGGGTCCCATGGAAACCAAATACAGCCTCAGGCTTGGACAGGGCCAAATCCAGTGGGGAATGTTGGCAGGGGCCCCGGGAATGCAGAGCTCTCTCTCTCAGAGATTATAAGTAATTTTGAAACATAAAATACCTTTCTCTGTCCTCCACTTTAAGATGTGGACAAGATTCAACAGAAGAGGCAGGGAGCTTCCCTGGGGTTGGGGGAAAAAGACAATAGGAATCTAGAGATCTGGGGTTTTTGTTTGTTTATTTGTTTTTGAGACAAGGTCTTTCTCAGTCGCCCAGGCTGGAGTGCAGTGGCACAATCATAGCTTACTACAGCCTTAAATTCCCAGGCTCAAGTGATCCTCCCACCTTAGCCTCCAGAGTAAGCGAGACCACAGCCATGCATCACCATGCCCCGCTAATTTTTAACATTTTTAGTAAAGATGGGATCTCACTATGCTGCTCAGACTAGTCTCAAACTCCTGGGCTCAAGTGATCCTCCTGCCTCATCCTTCCTAAGTGCTGGGATTACAGGCGTGATCGACCACACTTGGCGGATATGTGGGGTCTTTACCTAGCTGTGCTAGAGCCTTGAGGTAAGTATGTGAGAGGTGACCTTTGCAGCCTAAGGGGAGTATTCCCTACCCCCAACCACCTCGGGGAAAATGGTTTCTCCTTCCCTTTTGTCAAGCAAGGGAAGAAGAAGAGAAGTCACTCAAGGCTAGAATTGGGGAAATCTCAGGGTGTACATACCTTCAAAGTTGGGCTGAGAGGGTGTGTATATGCAAGGGGAGGAAAGCTGGGCAGCACCTGTTGTTCCTGTGATACTCACCTTTGCAAATCTGTACAATCCCCATGATGATAATCAGGGCCAAGGCCAGGAGCTTCCCAGCTGTGAAGACGTCTTGAACCCGGGTGGCCCACCGCACACTCGAACAGTTGACCCATGTGAGGAGCACTGAAATGAAAGACCCCCAAACAGATCTTCAGGGGCTGTATCTGGCTGCATGATGCCCAAGGCACACAAGCAGAAGTGTTCCCTCGTCCTGATGATAAGATTGTAATAGGTGAGCCAGATACCCAGCAAGCTCAACCTCAGGGACCAGAGACTATGGCTCGGTTAATGGGTTACAAATGAAGATTACATGTCCCAACTTAGAACTTGGGAACAGCATGCCCTGGTGAGGGCTGGAAGCCAGAAGTAGGCATGGAAGTGTAGGCACTGGCTTTGGGGGTAAAATCATATCTGATCAGGGCACAAGTATGGGCTTTGTCTTCAAGTTGTTATTTGTGCAAGGGGAGCTGTGAGCAGCTGGTGGGATTCAGGAAGTCACCTTCCTGAGCCTGATTTTGGGGTAACAGAGGCTTAGGGGAATCTTCTGTTACTTAGGCTTATTGAGATATAATCTACATCTTACTAAAACTCACCTTTTTTAAGTGTACAGTTTGATGAGATTTGACAAATGCATTGAATGGCTTAATCACTTCAACACTTCATATGTAGAACATTCCCAACACTCTAAAGTTTCCTTATGCATCATGCTCCTTTGTAGTCAGTGAGGCAAATCTTCTTATCCTACCTCTATAAGCATTACTTTGACTTCTGTCCCTATAGCTTTGTCTTTTTCAAAATGTCATGTAAATGGAATCATACAATATGTGGTCTTTTGTGTTTGACTTCTTTCACTTAACATAATGCTTTCGAGATCTACTCATGTTGTTGCATATATTACAATTTGTTCCTTTTTATTGCCAGATAGCCTTCTACGATATACAGGTATCTGTTTGTTTTTCCATAGACATTTGGGTTGCTCACAGTGTGGGACTATTATGAAGAGTTGTGATAAATACTTGCGTAGATGTCTTTTTCCTTTTTGTGGATTGTAGAGATCTTTGAGTGGGGTTTTCATTGCTCTTGAGTAAGTCCCCAGGAATGAGATTCTGGGCCATGGAGTAAATGTGTTTAACTTTATAAGAAACTGCCAAACTGTCTTCCACAGTGGCTGTCTCATTTCGCATTCCCACTGTCATGTCAGAGTTCCTGTTGCTCTACATCTTTCCCAGCATTTGGTATTGTCAGTTTTTGCTAATGGGCATGTAGTTGTATTTCATTATGGTTTTCATTTGCATTTCCCTAATGACTAATGATGTTGAGAAACTTTTCATGTGCTTATTTGCCATCCATTTACAAATCTTCTGTGGTGGCATGGGGAGTTGCAATTCTCTACAAAAAATTTTAAAAATAAGCTGGGTGGTGTGGCAGCTCTGATTTCACTTGAATGGCTGATCAAATTTTATCAATATCTTATTCTTAAATGGTACTTCTACTTTCCAAGTATTTCCCAACCTTACTTGATGCTGAGAAGGTTAGGGTAGGATGGTCCTGACATTACCCGTCTGTAACCTTCCTTCGTGCACCGTCTCCACCTGGCAAATCCCTTCTCCTCTTTCAAGATCCAGCTTAAATGTCACCTGTTCTATGAATCTTTATAATTCAGCATGTTATTTATTCCTAACAACATGCCTGCAAGGGAAGATATATCAGCTGTGTTTTGTACACGAGGAACAAAGTTTGTTCCTTCTTTCCAGAACAATCCCATACCACTTTGTTTATATCTAACATTGGGACGTATTTCTTTTTTCTTTTCTTTTTTTTTTTTTTGAGACAGAGTCTCACTCTTTCGCCCAGGCTGGAGTGCAGTGGCGCAATCTCGGCTCACTGCAAGTTCCACCTCCCGGGTTCACGCCATTCTGCTGCCTCAGCTGGGATGCCACCACATCCAGCTAATTTTTTGTATTTTTACTGGAGACGGGATTTCACCGTGTTAGCCAGAATGGTCTCAATCTGCTGACCTCCTGATCCTCGGCCTCCCAAAGTGCTGGGATTACAGGCATGAGCCACCGTGCCTGGCCAGGATATATTTCTTTGTATCAAAATGACCTGCTTCTGGCTGGGCGCGGTGGCTCACGCTTGTAATCCTAGCACTTTGGGAGGTCAAGGTGGGTGGATCATGAGGTCAGGAGTTCGAGACCAGCCTGGCCAACACAGTGAAACCCCGTCTCTACTAAAAATAAAAAAATTAGCTGGGCATGGTGGCGAGTGCCTGTAATTCCAGCTACTCGGAAGGCTGAGGCAGGAGAATCACCTGTACCTGGGAGGCGGAGGTTGCAGTGGGCCAAGATTGTGCCACTGCACTCCAGTGTGGGCGACAGAGCTAGACTACATTTTTTTTTTTTTTTTTTAAGACACCAAGGGCAAGTATATGTTTTCACATTTTTAAATCTCAGGACATATCATTGGTGCCTGCAAATAGTAGGTGCTCAGCAAGTATTTAATAAAAGAATTTAAAAATATCACAGTTCATTAGCCTTCCAATATCATCTCGGTCTACACGTTCCACAATGCACATCAACCGCTTCTGCTCCCCAAGAACCTCATCAAAAGGAGATACAATCCCTAGTTGGCTTCATGTTGCCAAAGGGCAACAGGAAACTTGACTTCAAGAGTAGAAGCTCCTGACTCCTCATGGAAGAGCTATTATCCAAGATGATGTCATATAAGGAGAAGCAAAACATGTTGTCAGAGGAAGGATTTTAAATGCCCAAGCAGGGAGAACACTTTGTAAATACCCGAATGTTCCAGATGGACTGACATCCTGATAAATACACATTTGGTTTGTCTTACTCAATTCAATAAGGATTTCAGGATCATGTGCCTGGTGACAAGCCAACCTAGGTCACTCTAAACAACTGGGTCTGTGATCTCAGCTTCTTCCCTGGGCCCCAAGGCATGCAAGGTACAAGGCTGGGCCCCTTCACCCAGGAATTCAGGCAGACACAGCAGTAACTCAAGGATAAAGGAGATTGATAAAAGGAAGGAAGGAAGATTAGGAAACAAACCCCAGGAGCCTCAGGGACAGGTAAGGATTACACAATAAGGAACCAGATCTTGATCTCAGGGAAGAAAATCCTTCTCCAAGGGGAGGAGAGGGCGGGAGGGGGAAGTGACAGAAAGTACTTGAGGAAAACAAGGGCAGAGCGGGACAACTCAAAGAAATCCCTCCTCCCCCAAGCAGACCACCTCCCTGTTGTGCTGGAAAAGAAAACATGAAATCATCTTTACAAGATGGACCTTACTGAGTCACACAGAAAGACACCTTTAAACTATCAGCTCTGTGGTCTTCCTGGGGTGACAGAGATAGGGATGCTTTGTCAAATAACCTATCTGTGGCTATCTCCTGTCTTGCCTAATCTTATCTCCATCACTTCCCAAGAACCCAGCCCTTGACTAGTATTTAACCTTTCACCTTCACAATAATCTTTCAGAAACAAAAAGAAATTCGGAGAATGAGGTGGGGATAGGCAGGTTGCCTGTGACACCTAATCTCCTTAGAACAATGGCTGCAGGCCCCAGATCTGGCCCTTCACCCTGCAGTTGGGTGATCACACCATGTGACTGAGGGGAAAGAGGGTATCAGTCTCCTGGTACCACAAGACAACTTCCCTCACAGCAGGCTGAAACCTGAGCCTCCATCCAGAGAGGAAAGGTCAGTGGGTGCTTGCCAAGTTCCTGCCCTGCTTAGGAGCCCTGCTGCTGGCTAGCTACTGCCTGGCACTTGTCTGTTGCTGACGATGATATTCTAGAACCCTCTCTTCTCGGCTAGACCCTGAATTCCGCATGCCTGAGATACAGTGACCTCAGGGAAGCTACATGTGGATGAGGATCATTGGCCACAGCAGCTTTGAAATGTGAGGGGCTTTTCATCCATCCATCCATCCATTCATCCATCCATCCATCCATTCATCCATCCATCTATCCATCCATCCATCATAGATCCATTCACCCATCCACCCATCTAGCCATCCATCATCCATGCATTCATCCACCCACCCGTCTATCCATCCATCATCCATCCACCTACCCACCCATCTAACCATCCATCATCTATCCATCCATCCACTCATCCACTCATCCATCATTCATGCAGGGCCTATACGTACTAGGCATTCTAGTTGGTGGGGAGGTTATTGATAAGACACAAGTCCCTGCCTTTAGGAAATTGGCAGTGTAACAGGGATGACAGGTGAAGAGATGGCCACAAAACAATGAGGTGATGGCAAAGTTATTTGCAGAAGCTAGTGGGCATCTATGAGGAACCCCTAACTCAGCCCAGGGGAATCAGAGATGCCTCCTATAGGAGGAAGAGACCCTGGCAACATGGAGAAATTTATAATCCTGGTCCAGCTGGACAAAATAAAAAGTCATAAGACTCTGGTTCTTGTCCATTGTAATCTAGCTGTGGGAGTGGCTGCTGCTTCTTTAGAGGCCCTCATGGAATTCCAGGCTTGTATATATATTTTTGGGCATTTCCTCCCCTCTTTCTTTCTTGCTTCCTGGGCAAAAAATAAGATGAAAGACTATTAAGAAGACAAGAGTTCAAGAAGATGCTTAAGTCAGGGGCGGGTTACTTAATCCATCCAGTTTGAAATACTCAACATCAAGGTGACAGAAGAGATACAAAGAATGAGTCAGGCAGGAGGAGGAAAATTCAGATTTTAGCAATCTGGAACACTGCCCAGAGTCCAGGGCCTCCCAGCTGCCAAGTAGGAGAGATGGGCTCAATGCTTTCTGCAGGACTGGCAGAGGGATTCAGAGTCCTTGCTGCCGACCTGTAACTGGCTTGTCCACTGTGGAGCGCTGGGCTCCCTGCAGAGAAGGTGCCCTCAGCCCCAGCCCAGCTCTGACCCCAGATTTTGATCTCCAGGAATTACAGAAGTCTCTCCTTCACTTCCTCCCCTTGGCAATGACAGCAGATCTCTTTGTATTGGGGGCAGTTGAAGGTAGAATTATGACCATCCAAGATATCAACATTCTAATCCCTGAGATTTGTGACTATGTTATTTTAAATGACAAAAGGAACTTTGCAAACGTGATTAAGTATTTTTTTTTTTTTTTTT